CCCAAAATTGGGAACAAGTGATCTGTGTGTATTCCCTCCATTTCTAGGATCAAAGGCGACTCTCTCCCCAGAGCCAAACTTCTTCTGCCCTGTTCCAAAGGGACATCTCACCCTGCAAGTGGCAGAATAGCCTGCCTGGATGGAGCGGTAGAGTCCCCCGGGCTAACACGTGGGTTGTGATGGAGGCTTAGCAGGAGGGTGTCTGCATCAGGGGACAGAGACTAATGCTCAGGGAGAAGCTCTATGGCACAGCAGAAAGCAGGGAGCGTCCAGGTGAATCTATCAGGGCATTATTTCTGTTTAGAGACATTCTCTCTCTTCTAAAAGTTCAATTCCTCCCCCCGGAGCCTGGCAGTCCCCAGGGCTGTTTACAACTGTTGCTGGAAGAGCCTTATTGGCTCACTAGGAGTTTCATGCCGGAGCCCCGTGATCTCTTTGTCATATCCAGATTCTTCTGAAGGATTAAAAAAATAGGTGCTTGTTATGGCATTGTCCAAAGTGGCAGAAATCTGAGCACAATCTGAGGGTTCACCAATGGTACTACTGCTGTGATCTGCTTTTCACCCACATTTTACTTCTGGCCAAGGTGCAGATTTTCCACACCAAGCAATTCTCTAGCTCTGTGGACACCAACGAGGTGCCCTACACGGCAATTGAAGCCTGACACTAATTACCCAGAGTTAGTCCGGATCACACAGGGGAAGGGCCCGGTCCCAAAAGACTGCCCCCCTCACTTCAGATGCCAATCACAAGTAATGGTTGACCTACCACTTTGCCCACACTTCTGTCTGACCTGGCTACAGATTGGGGGTTCCTGGGACACACTCTTCAGGTTTGATAATTTGCTATAAGGACTCACAGAATCCAGGAAAACATGTTAATTGCAGCTACCAGTTTATTATAAACAATATTATAAAGGCTACAAATGAACAGCCAGATGAAGTGCCTATGGCCAGGTCTGGAGGGATCCTGAACACAGGAGTCTCTGTTCCCGTGGAGTTTGGGGTACATCGCTCTCCTGGGAGTTTGGGGTGCATGGATGTGCTTACCAGCCCAAATAGTCTCCAAGCTCCTTAATATGGGGTTTTTATGGAGGTTCCTAGACATAGGCACAATTGATAGAATCATTTGCCAGTGATTAATTCAGTCCCCAGTTTCCCTCCCCTCCGTGGAGGTGGGGTTGGGGGTGGGAACAGGGTTGAAAGTTTCAAGCTTCAAATAACATGGTTGGTTCCTCTGGCAACCAGCCCCCTCTTCCTGAAATTATCTAGGGGCCCACTAAGGGTCACCTCATCAGCATAAACTAAGGTAATGCGAGGGTGCCTCTGTGGCTGAGTCAGTTGAGCATCTGACTCTTGATTTCGGCTCCAGTCATGATCCCAGGGTTGTGGAATTTAGCCCCACGTTGGTCTCCTCACTGAGCGTGAGCCTGCTTAAGATTCTCTCTCTCTCTCTCTCTCTCTCTCTCCCTCTAACCCCTCCCTCAGCTTGTGCGCACTCTCTCTTTCTGAAATAAAAGAAAAATAAAAAGACTTTGTAATGAATAATAAAAATGCTCCTCTCAGCCCATTACTCAGGAAATTCCAAGAGTTTTATTTATTTATTTATTTATTTAAAAGAATGTTTTAATGTTTATTCATTTTTGAGAGAAAGGGGGAGAGAGAGAGAGCGAGAGAGCGTGCTCCAGCCAGGGAGGGGCTGAAAGAGTGGGAGACACAGAAGCCAAAGCAGGCTCCAGGCTCTGAGCTGTCAGCACAGAGCCTGATGTGGGGCTCCAACTCATGAACCTTGAGATCGTGATCTGAGACGAAGTTGGACACTTAACCGACTGAGCCACCCAGGCCCTCCCCAAGGGTTTTAGAAGCTCTGTGCCAGGAACCAGGGAGGAAGACAAAATATATATTTCTTATTATATCACAAGAGCACAAAATAATGAAGTTATAGAACAAGTTTATCTGTATTATGAAATATTAGATAGCTTTTTAAAAAAATGTAAGATCTATATGCTGTGACCTATGAAATAAGTGTTCATGACATTTTCTTAAGTGAAAGGTTGGAGTGTAGTATATAAGGCAGAGAAGGCCAAACATTTTCTGTAAAGGGCCAAATAGCAAATATTTCAGGCTCTGCCATTGCAGTGCAAAAGCAGCTGTAGACAATATGTAACCAAATAGGCTTGTCTGTGTTTCAATAAAACTTTATTTATAAAAGCAGGCAGTGAGTCAGAGCAGTCACGGTTCACCATGATTTGCTGACACTTGACACAGGGTCTTTGAAAAGGGTTTTTTGAAAAGAACCCTTGTATGTTCTGTACATGTTTTGTAAAGATAGGCTCCGAACTGTTAATACTGGTCACCTTGAAGAGAAAAGTGGTGAAATGGGGAGCAGGAAAATTATTCATTTTTTCTTTATTCGGTTCTCTTTTGTTTGACTTGAAATGGAACACATGTATTGCTTTTGGAATTTCTTTTTGAGATTCCTAAAATGACATAACAAAGCATTTGGATTTTTCAACTGTACGGGAGTGCCTCTGGCCGTATCATCTTGGAATAGTTTTGATTTGATTCAAAGAGGTTTTAGTTGACCGCAAGCTCCAGACAAACTTGCAATTTCTTAAACCTAGTGCAGTTTGAAAAGGGATAATGAAAATGTGATTTTATGATAAATAAAGGAGACGGTCTCAATGTTCTTTGTACCAGGCAAGTCACAATGCAGGGCTATCTTTTGAGTTTGGGATGCTGGGTTTTAAGGCAGGTATGGACAATCTAGATTATTGCTTGGAGACAGAGCCGGGAAAAGTGAAGGGTGTGGAAGTTCTGCGAAGAGGAGCACGGTTAGCCTGGAGAAGAGTGCATGGGCGTGGGGGAGGCGATAACCTTCACCTAGTGGAGAGTGGAAAGGACCCGCTCACCCAAGCTCCAGCATCTGTACCTGAACCACTGTGACCCATCATCTCCTGTCAAGCAGAGGAGGGTCCAGCCACCAGGGGTACTGAGTGAGAGCAGGCTAGATGTTTCTTACGTGGCCCTTCCTGACGTACTTCGGAACATGCTGGTCTCTGCAGCACTGGGGTCAGCCGCTATGGTGGTTCAGCACTTGAGCTCTGGGGTAGAAAGACCTGGGTTTGCAGTTGGCCTTGCCTCTGGAGGGCCCAGCCACCTTGTGGAAAGTTTCTGAACCTCTCTAAGCCTCTGATTTTCTTCTGTAAAGGAGAAAGAGTTAATAATGATAATGATAATGATAATAATAATAATAATAATAATAATAATAATACCTATTTCATAGGGTTACCATGAGAACCAAATGAGTCAATACACAGCATTTCCCATGATGCCTGGCACAACAAATAAGTGCTTACTAACTGTTAATAGTTTGTTGTCATGGTTATTATTGCTCGGGTTGTTACTACGACAACTGCCAGATTACTTTTAGTTTCCTCCTGAAGTTGTGTTTGACAGGCCTGCCTCCTTAAGCTTACAACTTTTTACCCCACACTCCATGGTCTTCTTTGGCAAAACCAAGCTGATTAGCGCTTGGCTGCTTGGCTTTCTCTGGGTCTCAGTTTTCTCATCTAGAAAAGAGATTTCATCGTACTGTTGTGCCTCTCCGGTAAGGCAGGTGATGCATGAAAGATGCCAGGGATATGTACCCAGAGAGCACAGAGAAGGTGGCAGAACACCCAAAGCCTGGAGCTCTGCACCTCACCTTTCTGCACACCACGCTCCTGCTTTTCTGATCACGTAGGTTTCTTCCTTTACAGAACATATGGGCACTTCTGTCCAGGTGCCCATCTGGGCTGGTAATGTTCTGACATACTCCTGGTGTCATTAAAGCATCATTTCCCATGTATGCGTCACAGCCACAGCTGAAAGCAGGAGCTTGGAGAGCTGGGATCTGTCCTATGTATTCTCAAGTGATAACTATTAATAAGAGATGTATTAAAAACTAGTAATAGATGCTGAACTCAAGGAGATTGCTGTGCGTCAGATATGGGCCTAGATGCCTTCACATCGAATTAAAATTTAATAATATCACAGCACCCTGCAAGGCAGCTACCAATGTTCCCGCTTCATTGATGAAAAACAGGGTTCAGGAAAGTACTTAAGCAGCTTCAGTGATTAAGTACCGTTCGAGCACATTAAGAGGCAGACTCTTTCTTTTTCTTTCAGTGCTACACAGAGCATCAGTACGCAGTAGATGCAGGCTGAACAAGAAGGAAAGTACCTTCAGTGCCCCTCTCTGAATGAATCGGAGATTTTAAAAATTGTTCTTTCTTTTTTTTAATTGTTCAAGTTTATTTATTTATTTTGAGAGACAGACAGTGAGCAAGCGAGGGGCAGAGAGAGAGAGAGAGGGATAGAGAGAATCCCAAGCAGGCTCCACACCATCAGCATGGAGCCCGATGCTGGGCTCAAACGCACAAACTGTGAGATCATGAGCTTGGCTGAAACCAAGAGTCAAACGCTTAACCGACTAAGCCACCCAGGGGCCACTAAAAATTGTTGCTTCTAAAAGCATTCGAGTTAAAGTGAACACACACACACATACACACACACACACACACACACACACACACACACACATACACACACTGTATGAGAGTGTGCACTTGAACCTTTCTGGCATCTGTTTCTCAAACAGGCGGAGAGCTCACCGGGAACTGAGCCAGGGGCAGTGAGGGAGGGGAAGCAGGAGGCCCCAGCAGGGCCCAGGTTTCCTGCAGGGAAATCCAGGGGCTGAGTGTCCCTGCTTCCTTCTGGCCAATTGTTCGTGGGAAGGAAGGCTAGGGCCTCCTGTTCTTTCTCCAGAATCCCATGATGCCCACTCTTAAGCAAGCAAGAAGAAGTCACCCCCTCACCCTGCCCCAGAGCTCTCCACATCTTCCCCTACTTAGGGGGCTGTGGGGATGGGGTGCAGCTTCCTTCAGTTCTTCCTTGATGGCAAGGACATGAAGCTTTAGCCTATCGTTTTCTTAACAACTCATTTTCTGAACCCTACAGCACCTAAGGCATCTTGGGGTGGCCCAGATGTAACTGGGCTCATTCTTTCCTCCAATAACCGGAAAAAAAAATACTCTGAGACCTGCCCATCCGCACAGAGGACTCAGCAAAGGAGAGAGACCAGCACCATCTTGGATCGCCTGCCGCCTGCCTCCTCCCCATCACCTCTAGCCCCATCCTCACTGATGCTGGGGGCCACCTTCAGCTCTGTGCACCACTTGGCCCCGAGGGTAAGGAAGGTTCATGTAGTTCTCCCTCAGTTTTACTTCCTGTATTTTTCTGGGCTAACAGACTTACATCACAAAGCAAACACACTCATCTGAATTATTAATAAAGTCGTTACAAGCACAAATCCTCAAGTCAAACTGCCCAGGTTTGTATCCCAGTTGTGCCTCCTACCAGCTGTGTGGTTCCCCGTGTCTCATTTGTAAAAAGGAGATAATAAATAATACCAATGGGATTATTGTGGAGATTAAATGACCCGGTACTTGTAGGGGGCTCAGAACCATGCCTGGTGCATAGTTAGCACCAGATGATCAGCTATGAAATAATTGTCAGAGTGTCTAGGATGTCTCTGACTTTGACCGGGTCAGTTTCGTGTTGCTGGGGCCTCTGCCCTGCCCTGACCCTGGGGAGCGACTGGGTTTTTTTTCTTCCCTTACAGGATTCCAGGGTCTGTCCAACATGTGTACATCTCGAGTTGCAAGGGGAAAACAGAGAATTCTTGTTACTTAATTATGGAGACCACTTTCCGCTTCCTTTATTTCTGCTTCCTCATTGTGGTCTGAGCTCTTTTATATTGTTCAATCTCCATATTTTTCTAAACAAAAGATCAGTCCACTGCTCCCCTCTCTCACCCCTGGGACAATAGCGAATATCCCTAAATGTGCACACAATGCAGAAACAGCCGTGGCCAGTAGTTTAATAATACTTTGGGACGCCTGGGTGGCTCATTCAGTTAAGCATGCGACTCTTGATTTCAGCTCTGGTCATGATCTCACAGTTTGTGGGATCGAGCCCCGTGTCAGGTCCAGCACTGACCTCCCTCCCCGCACCCTACCTGCTTGGAATTCTCTCTCTCCCTCTATCTCTCTGTGCCCCCCAAAATAAATAAGTACACATTTGAAGTAATAATAATAATAAAAATAATAATAATAAAATACTTTTGCCTTTGTAGGGGAAGGAAACTTTTCCTCCACCCTCTCAGATTCCAAGACTCAGGATTGTGAACTAAGCTGACAAGTAACAGAAGAACAGGAGAAAAGCACACACCTTTTATTCAATGTTAATATTTTTATGTAGCATGGGGATCTTCATAGAAAAGAAATGAAAATCTCAAAGAAGCAGTGTGATTAGGGGGCTTAGTTGCCACTTTAACATTTAAAGGCAATAAATCTCCAAAAAGGGGTTAGACGAAGGAAAGGGTTTTGGACCTCTGGGGGTGGCAACTTGTTGGACAATGACTAGGAAATAAATGGGGGAAACTGAGGCAAAATAAGGGCTGTTTATTGTGCAGGCTCACCTCAAGGTCAGCTCTCCATCTTAGGCAATGAGAATGTTCCTTACTTCCTGGTACCAGGAGGGCATCTTTCGCAGGGGAAATTTATGCCCTGCTTTTAGGCAGAGAGGGGTACTGGAGTGTGAACGAAGAAGAGGCATTTCTGCTGACTCTGCGGAAATTTCCATGAGGAAGGATTCTGAAGCATCCGCTGCCCTCCAGGGAGGGTGGAGAGCAAGAAGATGAGAGAGAACGTGACTTAGGTCACATATTAGGGGCTGCTGGGAATCCTGGTCAAGCTGCCGAATCTCCTGAGAATTTACCCTGGAGAAAAGGGGGTCAATTAGGAGCGATGCCCTGTAATCCAGGCGGAGACAGTGAGGGCCTGGGTGGAGGAAGTGTGCGTCTGTGGAGAGGCGATTGCAAGAGGGTCTTAAAAGTGAACATAAACCTATAAATCTTGACGTGCGATTGGTTGTGAATCGGGGGGATAAATTCAAAAAAGAAGTTTAACTTTTGGAATTTGTCAAAACTGGAGGTATTTTAGAGCTAGAAGGGCTCCCTCACACACACACATATTTTACAGACGAAAAGTTGGATCCAACAACTTGCCTGCAGCAGTAAATCATGTTAATTCTAGGTCTCAGAGCCAGAAGTTAGATCTCTGGATCCTCTAGCTGGATCCCCAATTTCTCCTGTTCCTTCCATGCAAATAAGAGGCCAATGCCAACCCTGGGCTTCAGTAAATGGCACTCAGATAATCACTAGGGCTTGTACCTCGCTGGCCCATCTCAATCACTAGGACACTAGTTTTAGGAAGACAAACACTTACATCAGGTTTCTCAGCCTCAGCATTTATTGACATTGTGGGCCAGATGGTTCTTCATTGTGGGTTGTAGGACCTTGCCATTAGATGCCATTGGCAACCTCACCCTTTCTCCCCACCCCCAGGTGTGAGAGTTAAAAATGCTTCTAGGGGTGCCTGGTGGCTCAGTTGGTTAAACTTCCCACTCTTGATTTCGGCTCAGGTCAAGATCTCACGGTTCGTGGGTTCAAGCCCCACCTCAGACTCTACACTGCCAGCACAGAGCCTGCTTGGGATTTTCTGTCTCCTTCTCTCTCTGCTGCACACCAACTCCCCACCCCCCTGCTCATGCTCTCTCTCTCTCTCTCTCTCTCAAAAAAGAAATAAAAATAAACATTAAAAAAATGTTTCTAGGGGCGCCTGGGTGGCGCAGTCGGTTAAGCGTCCGACTTCAGCCAGGTCACGATCTCGCGGTCCGTGAGTTCGAGCCCCGCGTCAGGCTCTGGGCTGATGGCTCGGAGCCTGGAGCCTGTTTCCGATTCTGTGTCTCCCTCTCTCTCTGCCCCTCCCCCGTTCATGCCCTGTCTCTCTCTGTCCCAAAAATAAATAAACGTTGAAAAAAAAATTAAAAAAAAAATGTTTCTAGACGTTGTTGAATGTCCCAGGCAAGGTGGAGGTGGGGGTACAAAATTGCTCCTGGGTGACAACCAAGGTCTTATATCAGTGTGCTTACAGTGAGTTTCAACATTGCATGGGCCAAAAAACCTAAAATCTTAAAAGATGAAGCTCTTAGATCATTCATTGAGAAAGAAATGATTCCTATTTTCCAAATAACCATTAGAAAGGTGATTTGTTCATTCATTCAACAACAGGGATTGTGTATATACTGTGTGCCAGGAGCTATGGAAGTCTTTGGAGAGATGGGGGTAAATGCGATGGCTTTAAAGAGTTGACAGGCAAGAGCAGTGATGTGAAAATAAATGCTCACCTCTAGGACAGAAAGAGTCCCACAGGGAGTGGGAGAAGGGGGAGAAGCCGGGCAAGACATGGGCCGTCAGATGGGGTAGCATCTTGCTGTACACATCAACCTATAAACTGAGCCCCGGAGAGCCTGGGCTTTGAAGTCAGATGCACCTGTGTCTGAACCTCGGGTTAGTATGACTTGGGCAAATTGTTTTCTTAACCTCAGTTTCCTTATCTGTCAAATGGAGATAATAACAATACTCGGTTCATGGTTGTTTTGAAGATTTCAGTGAGATAATGCGTGTAAAGCTCTCAGCACAGAGCTCGGGACCTGGTAAGCACTCAACAATGCTAGAGAAGTTTCACTAATCATTTCGGTTATGCTATTTTATGATTATTTCGTTTTACAGAATTTTCTTAAGGAGGCTCCACACCCAATGTGGGGCTTGAACTCACGACCTTGAGATCAGGAGTCGCATATGCTACCGACTGAGCCAGCCGGGCACCCCTCTTAGTTTATACTTAAGAACAACGTTGTGCTCTAGGCAGAAAAGCACATCCGTCATCCCCAAAGAGAGGAGTAAGTCATCGAGGCAGTTATTTTAGCTTCAGCCACCTGATGGACTCTTATTTATGGCTTCTTCGTTGTACGTATGCTTGGTTTTGAGGTGTCTTACCAATAGTATTACTAAGTCCTTCATTTCCTATATGCACAAAAGCAGTGAGATTGTTGAACGTGCCACTTAAGAGATGTATCTGCTCATAATGGAAATGAGAGCAAAGATTATTTTTTTAAAGTTGAAAGTGAGAAAATGCAAAATTCTCCATGTGCCTTTGAGGCAAAGCATTGGAGAGTGGGGATGACGATACATATAAAGTGCTTAGAAACAACCTTTGCACATAGTAAGCACCCAAGAAGTATCTTCCATTACCACCACCACCACCATCATCATCATCATCATCATCATGCGGAACAAGGAGGGAATCATATAGTATATGGAAGATTTTGAGCTGATGCACTCTGCAGTTACAGCCAGAGGCAAGGACAACTGAAAAGCAAATTGGAGAAAATCCCAAGGATGTGGCCACAGCTGAGCATCAGCCTTGGCGACCTCATGCAAATTTAGGACCCTGCTGGGGATTGGAGAACACAAGGGCTTAGCTTATGGGAAGTGGAAATTGCCATTGGGCGATGTTTGTTGCAAACCATGGAGGTCCCATGGATTTAAGGTTCATTTAAATGTGTTCCTTGGGTGATCGGGCTCTGGATCCCATAAGGTCTCTGAGACACTCAGGGACACCATCTGGGGCAGAAGGGTCATTTGCCTAAACAGATTTCCAAATTGCGAAGGAGAAGAATGTATGAGAGCAGCAAGGAGCGTGGTGGCTTTGCACGTGGATACTGCAAATGTAAACTCTTATTGGACACCTCAGACTGATAAATTTTATATCAACCACTCACCTTTGTTGAGCATGTATGATGCGCCCAGACTGTGTTCTAAGTATATTTCGTGGACGTTCACCCAAACTCTAAGAGCGAGATACTGTTGTGTTCCCATGTTACAGATGTGGAATCTGAGGCGCAACTTGCTTAAGGGATCCAGCCAGTCAATTTTGCAAGCAAGAGGTCAATCAGGCAGTCTGCCTCCAAAGCGCATGCTTTTACCTAACTGATTTACAAATGTCCTTTTAACATGACCTATTTTTAAGCATAAAAGTTTCCACATTATCATGACACCTATCACTCTTAGGGAAGCATGGCTGTTGAAGGCGAGGAGAAAGCCATTTGATTTAGAAAGAAGCACATCATTGACCCTTGAGTGGGTGGTTTCTGCAAAGCACTGGGATGGCAGCCAGACTGTCAGGGCTTACCGGAGTCAAGGGAGGTGAGAGAAGGAAGGCCTCCATGTATATATCACTTCCGGGAGTTTGGCAGTAATAGGCGAGAAAGAACTAGAATTACAGCTACAGGGAGCAGCCGACCATGTGAAGGCTTGTTTTTTTTTCTTCTCCCCAAGGTGATTGAAGACACATTGGAAAGAAGGAGAGGGTGCTGGTGGGGGGGAAGAAGATAAAGATGTTGAAGAGGAAGGCAAGATGTTGCGAATAAACATCTGGGAAGGGAGAGCACTCGGGGTTAGAGAGCAGAGGGTTTGAAGTCCGGCTGAATTTGGAAGAGATGTTTTGGGTTTTACTTGTTAGTGATCCCCTGATGAATCATGGTTTAAATTTTCCATTATCTGGACTCACCTTGTCCTGAAAGCCCACATTCTCCTGGTGTGGATGGTCCGTTATCTAATTTTAGGAGAAGTGGGTGTGTGTCCCACAGCTGTTACTCGATAGCTGTGTGTTCTTGGACAGATAAGTCTCTTCTTGTCTCTGAGCCTCAATTTCCCCATCTGTGGAGTGGCGGAGGCCAACTACAGGTCCTGGGTCCTTCCACCTGCAACGGGATGAACTTCCGATATGAACAGAAAAATATCCTGCCATTTTAGGGAAGAGATTAATTCCCTTATTGTGTGATTTTTGTTTGGGTGGGAGAAGCAACCACAGTCGCTTCCCTCTGCAGGAGAGCGGGTGATTTGACCAGAACTTAAAGTGGGTCTGCATTATTTATAAATGTGTGTAATGTTCGTTCAAATGGATTAATTTGTTACCAAGATTCTAAGGGCATCATTCTAAATACTATAAAAACGTATGTCCTTCACTAGCCATATACATACCTGAGGCTCAGGTATGCTCTCTGGTTGCTGGAGAGAAGTGCACTGTCATTTGAATACACAAGTCCACCCACTGGGAGTGGGATTGCCAATCTCCCTAAGAGCCTAGTTCTCAGGAAGGAGGACAAAAGGGTGTACTTTTGCTGCCAACCACCTGTTGTTAACAGCATTTAATGAGTAGAATTTCCCCCACCAGAACTATAACTCGACAGATGCATAGAGTGCCTACTGTGTGTCAGGCACCAAACAGGAAAATGGGGACCGTAGATATCAGTCTTGCTGATCAAAGCCTGTAACCACAATAAAAACACAAAACAGGAAACCATGACAAGTATCTGACTATCTGGTGTGCAGCCATTTGGAACACAAGGGGTGCAGCGCGTCAGCTAGAGGTGTGTGTGTGTGTGTGTGTGTGTGTGTGTGTGGTCAGTATGGAATAATAAATAGGTGGTATAATAGGGTAGAAGTGTTTGCAGCAGGCACCCAGGAGAGGCCTGCACAATTATGCCTTTATCTCGTTATGGATAGATTATTGCTCAAGAATACTTATATCTACTGATCCCGCAGCTCCAACAACACACACACACACACACACACACACACACAC